GTGTGCAAAGCCTTAAAGAATCTGAATACTTCCTAGACGTTTTGGTGCTCAAACGATTAGTCGATTGACAGAAAATAAATCACCATAAAAAAAAAAAATATTAAGTAAAATGTCAAATAATCCAAACATTCGTTGGTTTCACCTTTTCAAATATTCACATTTTTGCAGTGTTTTTGCTGTTTTATATATTGTAAATTGAATATCCTTAGTTGAACAAAACATACATAAGAAATCACCCTCTGATCTGACAGAAACGTCACTATGTTCTGACATTTAATACACTGAAGGACTAATCAATTAATTGAAAAAATATATACGCATTAATCCATTATCAGTTTTATGGTGTTGAATGTATGCAGTACCCAAGGGTAGAAAACCACCCAACAGAAAGATTGTTTTGATCCAGCAACCCAGTGATGTAAAAATAATACTGACACTGAGTCACAACACCACATAAAGTTAACCCAGTATTGCATCAGTGCTATGTTGTGTCAGTTTTTAACCAGTTATTTCTGGTGTGTAATTGGCAGTCCAATGACAAAAGGATCTTACAGTCTTTGCAGGCTGTCTGAAGATGAAATAAAGGTTTCTTTTTAGTGGTCTGAATGACAGTTGCATAGGTATCATACACAGAGGTTGTATATCCTCAGCCCTAGCTGTCACATCACAGTAGTGTCCAGATGGCAAATTGTAGTCCGTGTAGTTGGCAGGACAGTATAATAAAAAATTTAGCATATAAAACGGAACTGGAACGCAGGATAAGACTGACCGCCCTGGTGCTTCATGCAAGTGTAGCATATACAAGGGGCTCTTTTTGTCACTGACTTTGCTATGATGTAATTTTCTAAATAATTTTCTTGAAATCTCCCATGCCACGTTTAGTAATGATAAACAAAGAACATCATAAACCACATTTTATAGTGAATTTTGGAAATAGTATCAAAATAGGCAAGTGGAAGTGAGAAAATGACATCTATGATCTTGTTCATTGGGACTGCAAAAATGATAGCTGAAAGCCTTTGAATATAAATACCAAGCGTTTATGATAGGTTAACTCAGCAGGTCAAACAGTCAAGAGCAGACTCTACTCCTGTCTGCAATCTGCCTCTCCTTCCTGCAAAAGTAATGATCAGAGCAACAGAAGAGAAGATTCTTAAATTGGCTGTCTAACAGTGTGTCCTCTTGAGAAGAAGACCATGTTACACACACTGAGCAGTCTCTCTATTGATGCATGCTGTTGGTATGGTATGTTGTAGCACAGAGAATCTGCTTGTTTGTTGTTTGTTTGTTTATAGTTCCTCCGTATCCGGCAGGTGACCTGAATTGCTCTGTAATCTCTGAGTCTGCATTTTAAGAACCACTTTCTTCCACATATGCAAAGTTGTCCTCATTGTCTGCTCCTGATGTGTGCATGTTTTTTTGATGCTTCTTAGCTGGCTTCTAAAGTATTTGGTCCAGATAACATCAGAGTGGACGTAAGAATTGGAGCTGCATTCATGAGCAAACCATGGGAATCCAGTTATTAATGTTGGGAAGTCATTAATAAAGGGTACCATTTCAATTACCCATCTACTGTGGAGTTACAAATATTTAAAAAGTATTTAATCAAGGATCACAGGTTTTTTCACTTTTAGTCATGTCTACATATTTAGATATTATAAAAAGTTATAGTAATAATAAATAATTAATGGGTTCTTACAGTCTGCAGATGTAAATTTAACTATTAATATTTCTGGTTGGGATCTGGCTGGGATCTTTGGTGTATTTTTAACTTCCTTGTTTCCTGTTTCTCTTCAGTATTGCCATCTAATAATAATAATATAATAATAAAATTATAATAACATTTTGTACACATGTCCTGCAACCAAATGATCAAACAATCAATTGTAGGGGTCTTCTTGATGACTCAAAGAACTAGCTACTGTAAAAAGCCAAAGCAAGTGTCATGTTGGAGGAGGATTTTCCACATGCTCTAATGGCTTATAGGGGATAAAGCCATTATTTACAATATATACACTCTTTATAGAGGGTGTCTTACTAGAAAGTGGTAATGCAGTTTTTGAGGTAGTTTTGAAAGAGGACATGAAGCATCAGATTAGAATGGGGAAGTCTGAAATGCCAAGAGATAGCATTTTATTCCCATATGTCACTGTCAGCTTCCCTCTGTGGACTGCATGCATGACATGACTCTTGCAGTTGATGCCATGGCAACAACATGTCACAATGTCACTGTTCGGTGAGGTGGTGGTTGCCTCATGCACACCTCAATTTGTCGGTGGAAAAAAGAGAAGCGAACAGGTTCTTTTCACTGGCTCTGCCTTTCACTTCCCTGTGGCTGTGGGTTGCCCATACAAGAATTTACTGTTGATGGTTTTGGAGGCTTTGTGAGCCCGCTATCAGTGTCAAGAGGTCCCCATGTGACAAGTCCAATAACAACTCAGCTCTCTAGCTGTCCCTCTTTCCTCTGACATTCATATCAACTTTCAACAAACACATTGAACCTACTTTAATAACTCAGGTGATGGCCTCATGAAAACCCATGTGCAGCTGAATTTACAGGGGCCTGGGAGAAGGGTAGATTCACATGAAACTGTGAAGCAACTTTAGAGACAGCATAGGCACAATCTGAGTTTAAGGTTGGTTATAATACCCATGAACAGAATATTGATATAATGATAAGTATCAAAATACTGTCTCCATTACAATTTCTGTAAAAATCAATTGAGGACAAAGGACGTTACATCTGTTCTTCTCTAATTCCCACTGATTTTCTTGTACTCTGAGGGAAAAGGGAACATTTTTGTGGTGCAACAAAGACTTAAATCATAAACACAATCAACCATGCGCATGAGGTAATATCCAAATGGATTTTTTGCAGACTATTGAATTGCTTAATTTATTAATGAAAATCTATGTTTACAGATGGAATACCCAAATTGGATCCAAAATCCCCTTTTCTGGTAGCGTTATTTGTTCTAATGAGTGCATCTGATGAACTCAAACCATCACTTTCTTTCTGACCAACCCACATTTGAATGTGTGCACATACTCCCACACAAGAGCAGAACCTCTCCCTGTTCACCAGACTGTTGAAAATCATACTGTGTGTAACAATCCCATACTATTCCATGTCTCTGTTTAGCACCAGTCCTGCAGCAATGTCTGTCAGTAATACAACAAACAAGATGCATTTGTATACTATGTGGGAAGACAAACTGGAGAATAGATGTTACAATCTCCCTCATAACCATAGCAGTCAATCATGTGAGAAGTCCTTGCAGTTGGTTTGCTGTTGGCTCTTCATACCAGGTGGTGCAGAGCATCTGTAATGTTTCACGAGAGGTTAAATAGAATTCAGAGTAATTAGTTGCACTCAGAACATGTTACATGACAGACATTTTTTTCCTTCCATTTAAGTGGAATGCACAACACTGTTTCCAGCTAAAACCGCTTAAGTGTTAAAAGCTGCAGAATATAGGCTAACCTATTCTAATCCTACAGTTTTAAAGCTGGAAAGTAGTTAAAGACAAAGGGATTGATATTCTACTTTTGCCCTTGAGTGAGAGAAAGAGGGAGGGGGAGAGGGACAAAGTGAGAGAGCGTGTGTGGGTGTGTGTGTCTGAGAGAGAGGGAGAGTGACAGAGAGATAATCTCTTTTGTATTTTTGATCCCTAAATGTGGTGGTTGTGTCCCCTTATCCCAGCTACTTAGTTTCTGCAGTGCGTAAGTGATGCCATGCACTTAGGCTGTGTAAAGCAGGTCAGTATGACCACTGAGAGAAAACCACATGTGCATCACATGGATAGCCCTGGGATTATTTCTCACAAAATGTCTTAATTCCTCTGTTCACTAATGATCCAGGGAAAATGCCCTCTAATCTCCATTCCATTAATTAAAAAGAGCATGAGCCCATGGAAAACCTCACCATCTGCTGCAGTTTCATTCCTGCAGACAGATTGTGTTTTCAGTTTTTAACCTAGGGAACAGGGGTTTCAGAGCAAACGGGTGGAGCATGCATTGAGGTGGATGGTAAACAGCTAGAACTGCTCTATTTAAGTATTAATACTCTGAAATATGGTGAAAAAAAATCTGTTTCAAACAGGAGCAATCCCTGCCAGACTACCATGATAATTTACGTGAATTTGAGCTGCTCCCTAAAGACAATTTTACAACTTACTGACTTTAAACCTATACAGTACCATAACATTCTTCTTTAGAGACTTCATAGTCGTTTTATAGTACATTTATAGTAACTGTGTCTATGATAAATATATGGACGACCTTTTTTTAATGTGAATTCTTTAATACAGTCTCTTCTAAAGGACTGCTATCATTTTTAAGGTCTTGGTTTGAATTGAGGCTTCCACTCCTCTTTTATTCCTCTTTTTTTCTCAGATTTGATGAAGGTTCAACTGAATTTCTCACTTCTAATAACATAAACAAAAATTAGCAATTATGACAATGAGTTGAAAAGTCTCTTATAGAATCCTTTCATTCCAAATATCTAAAAGGACCATCTAATTTCCCTGCACAGTAATTTCTCATTAAGTATATAAAAAAAAAACAATAAAAGTAGCATGATTATGAATTAAAAGTCTACCACAGAAACTTTTCACAAGCTGTGTGAGTTATACTGACTATGCTGCAGGAAGACTTTGTTTGTATCCGATTATGCTGAACTATATCAGTTCAAAATGATGAAACACTCTTATAAGAAATTGAATCAAGTACGTTTGACCTGCGGTCAGAGCCTAGAGACTGTGACATGAATTTGATCGGGCTAGTAGGCAGGAAAGATTATCCGACCAGATGTTGTTCCCCCCCTATTGGAATAGTAGGGCCAATAATAAACACACGCACACACAGACACACACACACTAATCTGAGATAGGCTAGTAGCCCTTGCACATCCCTTTCTCTCTCCTCTCTTTTCTCTCAGGCAGACAGTCGCTGTTCCAGTCTCACCAATGTCAAGTTTTTTCCAGACTGTATTTTGCAGACTTCTGCCTTAATCATCTCGTATGAGTACACAGCAGACACAGTCCTCCTTGGTGTGAGTTTGCGGGATCGCTTCAGCCTACAGATGGACACACAAGGGGCGAAGAAAAGACTATATTGGAGATGGCATGTGTGCCGTTTTGCGCTGTTCACTTGTTTCTTGGACGCAGTCTGGGGACAGATCCGCTACTCAATCCCTGAGGAACTGGAGCATGGAGCGTTTGTTGGCAACATTGCAGAGGACCTGGGTTTGGATTTGGACAAGCTCTCTGCGCGCAGATTCCGGATAGTATCGGGTGCCAAGAAGCAATATGTAGAGGTAAATTTAGAAAACGGAGTTTTATTTGTCAACGAAAGAATTGATCGTGAAGAACTATGCGAGCAGAGTTTGTCCTGTTCTTTTCACTTGCAAGTTGTCATAGAAAACCCTCTGGAACTGTACAGGGTAGAGATGGAAATTCTGGACGTGAACGACAACTCTCCCAGTTTCCCATGGACCGAGTTTAATCTGGACATATCGGAGTCCGCTGCACCAGGATCACGTTTCCCACTTGAGAGCGCACAGGACTTAGACGTCGGATCCAACTCGCTCCGCACCTATTTGCTGAGTGTTAATGAACATTTCCTTTTGGATATACAGACGCGCAGTGATGGCAGTAAATTTGCAGAACTAGTCCTACAAACCCCGCTGGACAGAGAGCAGCAAAGTGCGCATCAAATGGTACTAACGGCGGTGGATGGGGGCGCGCCGGAGAGATCCGGCACTGCGCAAATTGATATCACAGTTTTGGATGCAAATGATAACGCGCCTGTGTTTGATCAGTCGTTTTACAGAGTGAGGCTTGCTGAGAACGCACCCAAAGGCACCGTTGTCATAAAACTCAATGCGTCCGACTTAGATGAGGGCCCCAATGCTGATATCACATATTCGTTCAGTGGCCACGCTCCCATCAAGGTGCGCCAGCTTTTCAGCGTAGACTCGCGCACTGGGGAAATCAAAGTCAAAGGAGTGATCGATTATGAAAAGGCCAGGATGCATGAAATTTATGTGCAGGCTAAAGATAAAGGCCCCTCCGCTGTAGCAGTTCATTGTAAAGTGCTGGTGAACGTTTTGGATAAAAATGACAACCTCCCAGAGGTGATATTGACATCAGTCTCCACACCTGTGCAGGAGGACGCGCCCCCGGGGACGGTGATAGCAGTCATCAGCGTGATGGACAAAGACTCAGGTGAAAACGGGAATGTGGACTGTGAGATCCCCCATCACGTCCCGTTTCAGCTGCACTCATCCTTTAAGAACTACTACACATTAGTAACTTGTGATTTTCTGGACAGAGAGGCAGTGGCAGAGTACAACATCACCCTCACCGCCCGAGATATGGGCTCCCCACCTTTATTCACCAGGAAAACTATCTTGGTCCAAGTGTCTGATGTGAATGATAACGCGCCTCACTTCAAACAGCCTTCATATACTGTGTATTTGACAGAGAATAACGCGCCCGGAGCATCCATTTGCTCTGTGACTGCTCTGGATCCAGATTCTGGTCAAAACGCATACCTGTCTTACTCTATACAGGAAGGTGACATCCTGGGAATGCCCGTGTCCACATACGTGTCCATCAACTCAGACAACGGTAACATTTACGCGCTGCGATCCTTTGACCACGAGCAACTTAAAAACTTTCAGATCACAGTTCAAGCTCAAGACGCCGGTTTTCCGCCTCTGACCAACAACGTTTCCGTAAATATCTTTATTTTGGACCAAAACGACAATACACCTGTAATCCTGTCACCAGTTCCCCAGAACGGCACGGCACCCATCGAGGCAGTGCCCAGATCAGCCGATGCCGGTCACCTTGTCACCAAAATCAGAGCGGTGGACGCAGACGCAGGGCAAAACTCGCGTCTTTTTTATCAAATGCTCCAAGCGACGGACCCGAGCTTGTTCAGCATCGCTCTGTACACGGGCGAAATCAGGACAATACGCCAGTTGGTGGAGAAAGACCCCGCGAGGCACAGACTGGTCATTCTCGTGAAGGACAATGGTCAGCCACCCCTCTCGGCCACAGTTTCCATCATCCTGTCAGTGGTTGACAGCCTGCCAGATTCGCAGCCCGATTTGGGTGACCTGTCACTAAGCCCGCATCACAGCTCCAACCTCACCCTGTACTTAATCGTGTCTCTGGGCGCAATCTCCTTCACATTCCTGGTGGCTATCATCGTCCTGGTTGCGATGCGGAGACTGAAGGGCAGGCCGTCCAACAGAGAGTCCAACTTCCCTTCCTCCATCAGCGGGTGCTGCTGCTGCTGCTCTCGCTCCGAAACGTCCACCACCACGGAGGTGTTCAAAAAGTCCAACTTGAATGTGAGGATGTCCTCAGGCGCGTCCGGCTGCGCGGAGGCGAACAGCAACGGCGCCCTCCCTCAGGTGTACTGCTACAAAATGTGTCTGACACCGGAATCGTCCAAAAGCGACTTCATGTTCCTCAAGCCTTGCAGTCCGGTAATGTCAGTTCAACAGAATAACGCCAAGAGCACAGATTACCTGACTTCTGGCTGGAGCGCGCTGGACCGTAATGAACTGGCCAACAACAGAGCAACAACCCCGAACGAGGTAGGGTACTGAAACATAACAGAGGACTTATCTCTCTTATCATCACACTTTAAGAATGACACTCATCCCAAAAACTCTATCCACTCTGCCAAGTCTCTAACTAGTCGTCCTGCTGCTTCACGTCTATTAGAAATGACAGAAAAGTTGACTGCAGGGGCAAATGTCACAATGCATTTGACACGCTAGGGGACGCTCTAACTCTTGATCTTGCTGCTGTATCTGTGCTCCAGTCAGCAGCATCAGTCTCCATCAGCATTAAACCTCACATTAGTCACATGAGAAGATGAATTACTTACTCATTTTTCAGTTTTTAGGAGATGTGGCATCTTATTCCTCGTTACAATGTTGCATTAGAGAGCCATTTATGTCATTTATCAATGTAAACAATGTAGTGGAAATTAATAGAGTGGTGAAAAATGAATAGCCTCCAGTTTTCCAGCTGTTGCACTACAACGTGACTTTGATTTTCTTTCTATGGAACTTATGAACTGTTGGCTTTCAACATGAACAACAGACAAAAAGGCATGTCAGTCATCTGACTTTGACCATACAGCCCCCATGTATTGACAGCTCCCATATCTGATACATGACTGCCTCTAGACACAAATGCAGTGGAACTGATCTTCTTGAGCTGGCCACTAAGTTTTTCTTCATGTTTCAACTGTGCAGCTGAAGTATTCCAACAAGGACTGGACCTGGACCAAGAACCAACGCAACTCAGCATACAAGAGGTGAATAGTAAAGCCAAGGCACACACACACACACACACACACACACACAAACACGTACACTGCTAAAATTATCCTTGTGCTGTATCTTTATCTCTTCAGGTATAGTTCGGGAAACATGGAGGGCACGCTTTCGCGTCAACAGAAATATGATGCCGATGGGTTTTCCTGCTCTGTACCGCCCCAGTACTGGACCTGGGGAAACCATATGAAGGGTAGGCGGCAACTGTTTTATTTGGGCTCGTTATTCTTAAGAATTAAGTCCCTGCACGCAAGTGTTTTGCTTTTTTTGTGAAAATGCTTAAATTAAGAAGACACCTTTAAAGCCATCTTATACACATCAAGTATACTGTATGCAAATATGGGCTCTTTGCAGAAATAATCTTCCAATACAAACTGTAATTTATGCGCATTTTTACAGACTGCAAGATGTCTCTTCAAGAGGGAGCAGTTCCTCACTACTCATGGGCTCCGAAGTACACGCAGCCTCACTCTGAGCCACCAGATTACCAGCACAATGTATACATACCTGGCACCACGTCTGACTACAGTACTCTGAAGCTGGCACCCAGAGGAGATCTGGATGTGTACAACACTTTCTCTACTTTTGGAAAGAAAAAGAGATTCATCTCACACTATGAACAGTCTATTGACAGAGACGATGGTCTCATAAGCAATGCCATTTTCAAATGATACACCAGCTAGTTTGTATTCTGTGTATGCTATATATGCCACCAACTAGTTCCATTAACAACTTTAAATTGCTTCTCCAGTGGAAGTATTGCTCTCAGAGGCTGGCAGACTATCGTTTCTCCATTTTACAGTGGAATTTAATACCACTCATTAACACAAGTATATTTTTATTTTTGTAAATACTGGAATAAAGTATAAATAAAGTTAATAATATCTATTTTGAGGCATAGTAGGATCTCCATGTAGCAGACTTTTCCATCATTAAGTTGTAGTGTAGTTTAAAGGCAGTAAACTGGAACAAAAAGAAAAAGACTTCTCTTGTCCAGCAGCGAGCTCAGTATAACTGCTATACTCAACAGCAAGCAGAACCTCTGTGGGCATTATTTTTCACAAATGCTGCAAATCCTGGTTGGATAATTAAGCTGTGCTACAGCTACGGTTGTCTTATGAGTTCAGCTTCCACTGAGCTTCCAATAATGCCTGGCGCATTTAGTGACAGGTCATCTGTTCAAAAGGGTGAATGCAGTCCAGGCACAATGCACAAGCAATGCAAGCAGATGGTAGAGGCAACATAATACAAACGTTATGCAGCACAGATTCATTTAGAACAGAAGAGCAGATTTCAGAAATATGACACTGAAATGAGGAGTGTAACCATCAGAAAGTAAACATCCAGGAATCAGGATTTATTGTGTTGCCGGGAGTAGCATCCCATCTGTCATTTTTTTCATTTGGCTTGTGCAGAGTATCAAATTATTTGACGCTCAGAAGGGCAATAACACAGATGGAACAGGTTATATGCATTCCAGATTTGTATTCATCATTGTATGGTATGAATTGTATATTTAAAGATGATTACACAGTTGTGCTTAATGGGACTAAATGCTCTGTATGGTCCTATGTACTGTATATATTAAGATCAATAAATCTGTCCTCAACTCTGTGGTTGTTGGTTTTGATTTTTTTACTTTTATTCCTATTATTGGTAGATCCTAGTAGAACCGATATGTGTATGTAGCTCTGAAATAACTAATAGATTAACTTCCACTATTAATCAATAAATAAATAAAAATCAGGAAAACAGTAAAAGTCTTTTTTTATCTCCTGGCATTGAGAGCATTGAATAAAAAGTGTCAGGACCCTGATTAACTAACTCACAGAAAACAAGGCGAAGGAGGCAGAACTGGCAAGGCTCATCTTACCTGCCCTGGCCTTGCATGGTGTTTGTAAAAGACCTGAAATTCAGTAATTTTGTTCCCAGATGCTGACTCCAGAGGGGTGATGTATTTGGGACACCTACTATCAATCCCACTGCACGATTTTAACCATTTTCCCCAGTTCCCTGCTGAGATGGAATCAAGAGTAGGAATTTCAGCCTGCAAGAGCCCAGGATTAGTTGGGGGGACTGTCACTCTACAACCTGGACACATGACCTGTTTATATGAGGCCTATGGGAAAAGAAGCTGTTATTATTATTGTTGTGTTGTGACTTATGGCTCTGAGTGTCATTTAACCTTTTTCTCTTGACGTTCTGGTGAGTAAACCCAGGGTTTCAACCACTACTCTGGAGATAATCCTCACGATCCATCGCCTCTGAGCTATTGCAGACTAGTGGGTTAATCTTGGGCTTGGACTTGACTGCCTCAGTGAACTGCTTCATGTTCAAAAAGCTGAGTGCCAAGGGCCAGTTTCAGATTTATTTTGAACTCTCTGAAGATCGAATAAAAAAAAAAAGAGTATATATCTGTATCATTTAGAGACTACCAGGAATTGAAAATACAAATCCAGATAGGCCCACATTTATATCCTGCCAATAATTACAGACAATCAAGCCAAGATTTATCTTTGTCTGTATCAACCAATACCAAAAACAGCCAGGCTTATGCAAGCAGAGGCACATAACATATGTCTAGCTTCTGTGCCAGAGCCCAATCTGTGTCGTTTTTATTTCTCTCTATCTCCCTCTTATCTCTCCCAGCAATCCATAGCTTCCCCAACTCCAGTTGAGAAGAGAGGTCTGCCCCTTTTTACCCACTAGAGGGCGCCTTTCCCTCACAGATACCTCTGTGAGAAATTAACCATACTGAACCTAAAGTTTATCTGTGCATGGTATGCATTTTGGCATTCACTATTTTATTTCCAGTCTAAAACACTATTTTCTCTTTTTTTTTTTTTTACTTTTGTACATGCATATATAAAAAAATCATAAACAGGTCTGATTATGACTTATATATCACTTAACATGCTAAAATTGCCACATACTCTCCTTCTCTCTTGTTCAATTAGCAACCGGTTGAGAATGGCCCCTGGAAATACATGCCCTTGAAACAAAAAAGGGCACTGTATGACATGAACATTAACAGACAATAAGAAATAAAGATAAGAATAAACTAAATAGACCACAATAATAAATCAAGCAATCAAACAAAGCAATCAATATGAAGCATACAGGACTCTACCACTACGTCATACCCCACCCACTACATAACGTCCCTATTATAGGCAATACCTGCGCAAAACAAACAAGAAATACTATTTAGATTGAGTCCATCGACAACTTCACCTTCGAAGGTGACTAATAATATTAAAAATGCCATCAATAGCATTTTTGTTCATCGATACACGTGATCATTAAGATGCTGTAGGGCTCGTGCTGGATGGGCTCAGGGAGGTGATGAAGGCTTAGTGTGGTTAAGTCCGTCTACAGTTAATACTGTAAGTCTTTTTCTCATCATTGAGTGGTTTTCACTTCACTCAATACAACATTTTAATTTACAAATTGCAGTTGACATGAAGTATCTCTCTATTTAAATAAGCATCTCTGTCTTTATGCCATACTAGTTAGCCAAAGTTAGTGTAGTGAAACAAACTTTTGATATGGCAGAAAAAATCAGGGATCTAAAATATTAAATATAATTAATATTATAATGAATATACCACTGAGGTGTACCTTTTATAAAGTGTAACTGTATAAAGTGTAGTTAGATGAATTAATCCAAAATAAACCTTTAAAAATGTATTAAAACTAACATAATATTGTGTGTGTGCTCCAGATGCTCCCTTAATTTTATAAATTGTCACTGGATGGAGCTAAAGGACAGGAATGCTGAGTAACATTGTCACGTTATCCCATCATGTCAGTATAACCAAATGCATTAAAATACAGCAGCAAGCACAAATAATGACAGGGCGTAAAAGCGTAAAAAACCATAGAACCATCCTATGCTGGATGGTTCTATGGTTCTCCCCTTGCACAGTGGTCAGTTAGACTGAGGAAGAAATGGGTTACAAGACAGAAGTGAGAACTGCAAACACAACTTGAAGTATATGTTACATCTCTTAATACAGGACCACATTTTAATACCAATGCTATTCATGATCAGCCATATAGCAAGAGCCTCTTGCAGTATGACAATATTGCTCCATAATATTGGCAGTAATCACCAAAGGGACAAAGAAGAAATGACACAACATATATACTTTATCCTTTACTGTTTCCTTATTATTTTCCTCATTGTCCCTGTTTGGCATAATTTTGATTGTAGCCCTCAAAGTAGATTCTGGGAATATCCTGGTTTGTTCAATATGTGAATTCAACAATTCAGTAATAAACAGCACTGTAACTCATTACGAGTAATAATATTACAGCAATAATGCTATTTTCCCCAGTTACTAGTAGTGTAACTAGTTACTAATACATTTCAATAATAAACCCTATCACATACTTGAATTCATTTTTGTAATCGTGGAGGAAACTAGCTTGGTAGATGGAAACGCTTATATTCAGCAGCTGGAAATATTCCATGACTTTGATTTTAACAAACAAACAGATTTTGAATTGTCGTAAGTCCGAATTTATGGTGAAAAAGAACGCAATTCCTAATTGTGTGGGGAGTAGCAGAAAATATAACTAATAATATAATACTTTTTAAACATTTTTAGAGTAACTAGCCCAACACTGATAATAAAGTAACAATCTCTTAATGTTATGTACAGTAAATACTTCTAGCATTTACACATTTAACTTTATTTTGCACATTGCTCCACAAAGGTGTCTTACAGGTGTGATAAATTAAACATTTCCAAAGAATTATATGTGAATGTTTTCTAACTTTAGAAAAAAGGTCTCGGAACAAAATAATTAAGTAATATCAGCTTTGAAATAAGGCTTTACAAATTCCTTTTATGAATATGACTTGTTTTTTTATGTCAAAGGACAAAGCCATATTATATGAGTGTATGCTCTTAGTCTATTAATGATAGTGTTTGTGAATACTTGCGTGTGTTATGTATGTTCTTGATTCTACTTTAGTGAAATTATTTTTTGCTGCCTGGAGAATTCAAGCCTGTGGAGGGTTTTTTTTAGGCAACTCTCCTTTAATTTATATATTAGATTACCTTATATGTGTAAACAAATAAACAAACCAACAGGAATACTTGTCAATCACATCAAATCCAAGCACTGTTAAAATCCAAGTTGCTGCACAAGATGTTGAAAAACACTTCAATTTTTCATTTCTAGAAATTCTGGTGTTATAAATATGTGCAGCCCTTCATTTGAATGAAGCCACCCGACCAGCCTACGCAGATGATGCCTACGCCCCTGCAGAGCATTGCCGTGAGAGCCCCGCTCCTCCAGCGGTACTGTACTGTATATGGCCTACTGCAGCTACAACGCGTGGAGGAGGCAGAAATGACACCGGCGCTCCCCTACATGAAGACAACCTGATCGTAAGGACGGATCTGTTTCATTTGTAGATTTAAAAACACCACGACGATGGCGCCTGTCAGTGCACCTTTACGGACACGATTGATCGCGGCTGCTTTTACATTCACTGCACTATGGGGATGTGCGCTCTCCATCACTCGGTACTCTATACCGGAGGAGATGGAAGAGGGCTCCTTTGTTGCCAATCTGGCCACGGATTTGGGTCTGGATGTTCGCAGTTTGGTGCAGCGCAGGGCAAAGCTCGATGTCATCCACAGCAAAAATTACCTTGACATCAACAAAGAAACGGGGGAGCTGATCATCCGCGAGAAGATCGACCGGGAGTACATATGCATGACTAAAACAACCTCGTGCTTTATGAAAATGGATGTCATACTCGAAAACCCCATACGCATTTTTAACATCGAGTTAGAAATCATGGACATCAACGACAACGCGCCGGTGTTTCGCAGAAGGACAATGCACTTGGACGTTTCAGAGGCAACCCCTCCCGGTGAGAGATTTTCATTGACAAACGCCGTGGATGCGGATGTGGGGGCGAATTCAATCAAGACCTACTATCTCAGCGAAAGCAAATACTTCAGCATCGACATACAGGCTGGCAGTGACGGTTCCAAATATGTCGATTTAGTGCTGAACGGTAATCTGGACCGAGAGGAGCATGGCAGTCATAATTTGATTTTAACCGCTGTGGATGGAGGGGTGCCTCCCCGCTCCGGCACAGCCAGCATCATTATCAACGTCCTGGATATCAATGACAACGCCCCCCTCTTCAGTCAGCCGGCATTTGAAGTCAACGTCTCCGAGAACTCGGCTGCAGGGACAGTGGTCATGACCTTAAACGCAACAGACTTGGATGAAGGCACTAATGCTCAGTTGGTGTATTCATACACTCTGTACACTTCAGAGAAGACTCAAGAGCTCTTCTCTCTTGATCCGAACTCAGGTGAGATCAAGGTGATGGGGGTGATCGATTATGAAGAGAGTCAGAGTTTTGAAATGCACATACAGGCCCAGGACAGAGGGGCCAACCCGCTGTCAGGCCACTGTAAAGTCACGGTGTTCGTCACAGATGTAAACGATAACTACCCAGAGGTGACCATCAAGTCAGTGAAAAGTGCTCTGACTGAGGACGTCTCTGTAGGGACGCTGATCGCGGTTGTCAGTGTCAGCGACAGGGACTCTGGTCTCAACGGGGAAGTGGAGCTCACTTTAAATCAGCAACAGTCTTTACCGTTCCTCCTAAACAAATCCTCTGAGGGATATTTTGAGCTGCTGGTCTCTAAGCCACTGGACAGAGAGATAAAAAGCAAATATGATATCACACTGAGGGTGACAGACAAAGGCTCGCCTCCCTTATTTGAAGATGAAACCATCACATTAGAGATTCTGGATATCAACGACAACGCACCCGCGTTCTCCCAGTCCTTCTACACTATCCATGTTGTAGAGAATAATGCGCCAGGGGCATTGTTGACATCTCTAAGTGCGTTTGACCCAGATCTCAATGAGAACCAATACTTGGTTTATTTCATAATGGAGAAGGAGATTGTTAACACGTCTATGTCAATGCTGTTCTCCATCAACCCTGAGAATGGTGATCTTTACGCCCTGAAAACCTTTGACTATGAGATAGAGAAGGAATTTCTTTTCCACATCGAGGCCAGAGACTCTGGCTCTCCTCCACTCAGCAGTAACGTGACGGTCCACATCATCATCTTGGACCAAAATGACAACACTCCTCTCATAGTGTCACCTTGGCGGGCACAGGGCTCGGTCGTAGAGGAGGTGATACCGAGGTCCACAGATAAGGGGCACTTGGTAGCCAAAGTGATCGCCATTGATGCCGATTCTGAGCAGAACTCCAGGGTCACATATCAGCTCCTGCAGATCAGCGACTCAACCCTCTTCAGCCTGGATCAGTACAACGGTGAAATCCGGACAACGAGAATGTTCAGTTACAGAGACCCAAGACAACAGCGGCTGGTGATTGTCGCCAAAGACAACGGCGAACCCGCTCTCTCTGCTACCGTCACCATCAAGATATCAACGGTGGAACATGTCATGTCCTTTTCAGAGACCACAGAGTTGCCAATAGAGTATGACGTCTTCACAGACCTAAACCTGTACTTGGTGATCGGCTTAGGGGCCGTGTCATTTCTGCTACTGATAACCATCTTGGTTATTATTGTGCTGAAGTGTCAAAAACCTAAGCCAAAGGCCATCAAGATCCCCCCAGCCAACAGAAACAGTGTGATCAGCAGGAACAGCGTGATCAGTGAGAGAAACTCCACCATCGCAGACTCCACTCTGGTCTCCAACGATGCCTACTGGTACAGTCTGTTTCTAGCAGAGACCAGGAAGGGCAAAGTGGTCGTGAGACAGCCAATAATTCCAAAAGGAGCTGGGTATTTTGTGTCCAGTATACCCAGGAGCATAGGGCCAAGTGAGACCACAGACTCCAGAGCATCCACGCTGGAGGTACGTATAAAAGAAGTGGCAGCTGGGTTCGGAGGGGATTTAGTGTCATTAATCCTGGTTGACAAACAGGTGAAGGACATTATTTTGAAGGGCAGCTTTTGATGGAGCAGAAAGAGGGAAACACACTTCTATTCATGGGTGCTTACAGAAAACACACTGTTAATTATACTGATTAGTGTGTTCTGGGGCTTACTGTAGTGTAAAAAAATCATAATGTAAAAATCTTAGACATCATGAGCAACAGATGTTTTGTTGAATTTACTGTGGATGCAAGTTGGTTAAAGTTAGTTACAGTAAGTTACAGTTAAAGCATTTTGTAGTTGATACATTCTGAATAGGTTACACCCGTTACAAAAATGCAGTGTGTAGTGTGGGGCCCCATGTCATGTTTCAGAGTTGTTAACAGTTTTTCCAAACATATTTCCACTCTAAGCATCTCAGATGTGTTTGCCTAAAATGGTTTGAGACTTGAAAAGCTTTAGAATTTATCTTGTGACCCTATGCAGGGGGCCTGACCTCTGGGTTGGGACCTACTGCACTTAACTACACAACTGCATATAAAGCTCTTAATATACAGTCTGCAATATAAAGTAGTTAAAACTCTATTGCTCTAGTGCATCGAGCTGGTGCAAAAATTTAATAGTGTCATATATATATATATATATATAATAGTCACAGTGACCACTTTTCCTGCAGAGCAAGAAGTTTTATTTGTGATGCTTTTAAGTAAATTCTTCCACTAACACTTCTTTGAATATGGGACTTTTATTTGGAAATTAGTATTTTTAAGATTTTTACTCATCTCAAGGATTTGAGTACTTGCATTTCAGCTAACATCACTGAAAAAAACATTATTATTGTTTAGGGTATGAGTCTTTTGAGGGTTTTAAGCATGACATGTCAACTAGCTGATGCACTCTGAGGGCAATTACATTTTTTGGTGTAGTCTAAGTAAAACTGAAATTTGCAAATAAAAACACACACACATATATATACACATATATGAACTGAAATGCACCATTTTCCAAAGGGAACAGAAAAAAAGTTCCAACTCAGACAAGCACTCTGCACTTTCATTGCATAATTAGGCTAAACAAATAACCCCCCAAACAGAAAATGTGCCACTGTTCGATGTCTTATGCAGTATGTAGGTCATTTATTGCAGATGCATAATACACAATCAGAGCATAACTAGTGGGCGTAGGGGGGGGCCGTACTTCAAAGAAGCCCAGACATGGAGGGGTTTTGTACAAGGACAAGAGATATGTATATCGCTGTGCTAAGTGAGATGCATCATGCTGGGTGTCTGTAGAATCTTTATCAGCGCTCCTGCAGACAGTAGACTGTAATCGGTGTAGAACCGCTGAAACTGATCCAGATGTTGTTTGCTTTTGTACAGCTGGCCCTGAAGACTGCAACAAGTGATCCACCGAAAGATTAAACGATATGAATGTGCATAGGTGCATGTGGTGAGAGAGAGAGAGAGAGATGTGTATGATGTGTGTGTCCTGTAAGTGTGAGTTGTGTTTGAAATTCACACGTACAACTGAACTTGTCTCTTTTTTCTGTTCTTAAGTACTCAAAATGAAAGGAAGTCCATTCTACAACTGGAGGTATGCTGGTTGCTAACTACATTCTGTAGAGCCACTATAATTATGTAGACATGTTCTATCCTTTTCTATTTGGTATACGTTCTTGGTTTGGCTCAAAAATCTGGTTTGATAACCTGTCACAGTTCCCAATGCAAACCTTAGGCGTAATCCTTTGGTCAACATGTTCTCCCGATTAAATAGAGCAGAATCAAATATTTCCATTTGTCACCGGTCGGACTCTGTCCCTCACAAATACGACACTCTGTTCCAGTGCAACGCCATTGTGAGCACTCAAATTTAAATTGGCCGGTCTCTCAAGTGCGAAAACCTATCAGCTTACTGAGAGCTGAGATTAGAATAAAATTGGCTGCTGGTCAGACTTTGTGTTGTGCACATCTGGCTGGCTTGGTGGAGATCCAGGGCAAAGTGATGGCACAGACAGGAAAAAGGGGATTAGGGAATGAATTGTCCTGCATTGGTTCTCAGCATGTAACATACCTGAGAGCAGTGACTATCAACTCCACATCCCTGCACATGAGCTCTGTTTGGGCATGTCTCATATTTGTGGTTATTGTCCTACAATAATAATGTGGAGTCTATTCTGTTTTTTTCCCTCTATAGTTGTAATATTGGCCCACCAAATACCAAATAGCACATTGTGATGCCTGCTTGTGCATGCTTTAATTACACCCCCTGCTTCCCTATTCTAGTTAATAGCTTTGTCATATTTTATTTTAGCTTTGTGTGTTAGTCTGATTTCTATGGGTGATTTGGTGAAAACTCCGCAACGAACATTCAGGAAAAAAAAAAAAAGGAACCTAAATATAGAAACGAGTTATTAATTTAGCCCTGAATTTAAATGTCCCTGAAACCCAATGATATGTCAATGATGGTGGCAGTAACCAGTCACGATCCACTGTTGCATGAGTGAGGACTTTCTATAAGTTTATATCGAGGTTGACTTTCTGTTTTGGCTAATTCTGTGTTCTGTCTCTCTTAGCAGGAACCCAGAAGAGAACTGCCATGATATAATCATCTCTTCATGGGAGTCTCTGGCTGAAACCCTGTGACTCACAAAGAAGATGTAAAACAACTGTCCTCCCTCAGTCCCTCTGCTCCAGCTGTTCTTTATCTCTCCAGCTCCTCCAATCCCCCATACAAACATCAACCACTAATCACCTCAGTTTTCTACCTTCTTTTCCCTTTTAAGCATGGATCTGCATGATTCTACAACGTGTTCAAATTATTTGGACAGAATTGAAACCATTTATGGCAGGATATTTGGACATTTCTAGAGTTGCCTCATGTAGTAAATCATTCTCTTCTTAACACTTTGAAACTCCTCAATGGGCAAATTTGCCTTCTCTCCAGGGTTTACGCTGTGTGCTGTAGTTCTAGAAACCATCTGTTGCTTACCACGTACGTAAGTCGCCATCATGCAACATTTTTTAAGCAAAAGTTCAAGACACGCCTATTTACAAATACACATACGAATCAGGGTGAATAGAATTCTTCCATAAATCTAAACTGTAGCTGGTTATGTCACTGATTCAGGCTTTGCACTTGGTGTTTTTTAATTTCTACTGTATTATGAGTCTTGCTGTTCTGCAAGGCTCACACTGTCAACTAGAAACTTGCAGATGAAATAACCAGTAATCTGATTTTAGATTTCTCAACCTTTTTTACAATGTACGTACTCAACAGTTATGAATGTGAAAAAGACAAAAAAAGAATGAAAGGAAAGAAAACTGTAAAATGGGAAAAAAAATATATACAAAAATAGGAGATACACCGTTTCTCTTTTTATTTGATTGTAGATACAGTAGTTCTATAGAAAATCATGAGGAGGTCAGAGGAGCAAAAATAATTTTGACACCATCACTAACATCAGATGTGCTAGTCATACTTTATACACACATCTGTGCAGATATGAACCATCTGACAGGGCACACAATTATCTGGCTGTATTGGGGAAACATGACTGAAACTGTTTTGAATTTTCTGATCATGTGATCGTGTTCATGATCAAAATCTAGTCTACACTGTTTCAGCTTGTCTCCATTTGTTGGGGTGAGGTAGTGAGGGTGCATGGGGGGAGGTGCGGCCTCAGATTACATTTTTCATTCAGTGGCACTCTGACATCACAAATTTGGGTGGACAGTGTGTAAAACATCCAAACACGATGAACCATATTTCTCAACAAAGTCAAATGTCAATTCAACTTTATTTGTAAGAAGATATTATCACATATATTAGCTATTATGTACCCAATGTCATTCTCTCATGTTTTTCCCAGGCTGATGAAGCTGGCAAATCAAATATGAAGCCCAAATACTCATTGCACATAGTGCAAATCTTATTAATCAATTAAAAAAAATGCAATTACAGTGGCAAAAAAAATATTTTGTAATGATAAAAGAGTAAAAATATTAAAATGTATTTATCTTTGCCATGGTACAAGGGAATATAAGGTCCAGGCAAGGTATTGTTTTATGAATATTCATGTTTTTATAGATATTTTATGTATTAACTTTTAATGCTGCTTTTGTGAGCTTCTTTAAGGGCATTTTGTGTTGCATATTTGTAGTTTAGTGCATATGATGTGGTTTTGATAGTGTACATAAGTTAAAACTGAAACTAGAGTACATCTCTTGACCTCAAAGGTAGTGCTGTTGCACTACTGTGAAGCCCAGGACTTTCATTTTCTCAGAAACAAGGAGCTTATTAGGACCACTTATTAGGGTGCTAAATGATCAGATCTAATTGGTTGAGGTAAGGAGACTGGATTGTGGGAGAACGTAGCGATAATTATAGTTGCAGTATTATAGTGCTGACTTTGCGAGTAAGAAAAGCCCACTGCTGAACCCATAGACAGTGCATAAAGAGTATTACGCAGATGACAGCACTTTGAAATATGCACCAAATCTAAATGTGATCGCAGCACTCACTCAGTAATGCAGTGACTATTTCTAGATGTATTGCTGCATTATTCTGAGTCAGTGAAATCTAACCTCTCTCTTCCTCTCTCACTGTTGCCCGGTGCTAGTGTTACACCAGGCTGCCCAGACATAAACACAGCTGGCTGTCTGTCTGTCAGACTAAAGATGTCACATAATGAGGAATCTCTTGCTGTGGAGTACATGTTATGTGTGCAATCAATGCCTGATTCCAACAGTGTTTAGAAGAATTGATAAATTGCACATATGATGAGCTCCTTGTGTGCCTTCTGCATTGTAAAAGATGTGTGTTGATGAATGAAATAATGGCATGTCATACAGTATTACCAATTACAGTTACCCCAGTGATCAAGTACCTTGCATTGTTGGATAGGGGCTCAGCCTTTTGGTTTCAGAGCAGATGTTCTATGAAGAACCAGTAGATGCATTTACTGTAAATTGAACTGCTTTATACTTTGTGTTTTTTATACAGTAGACTTTTTTGATATCTTCTGTATTCACTGTGATCGGATGGCACAGGAGGCTCTTGTGCTTGGCATAGTAAAAGTGTGTTATTTCTCATTTGTGTATACAGCTCAGTTTTTTCCTCTGCTAATTTGCCAGTCAGATTGTACAGTATGCTTCGAGAGTTGCATCAAACCGAATCCAGTTCCATCCCACTTGGTGGATCAGAGACAGTATGGGAGAGAATGGTCTTGCTTTATTTTAAAGTCTGGTTAATTGTCGGATTTTGATGTTGCTTATTTGGCTTAAATGTTCTGCCTGATCATACTAGTTTGAATAAAGCTTTTTAATCTGTCTTTCTGTCGTGTCTGTGATAAAAAATAAAACAGAGTTATCAAAAGTGACTTCTGGAATGTGACACACATGCTCTGTCTCTCACTCTCTCCCTCTCTTCCTCTCACTCTCTCTGAAATTCTCTTGCATACACACATTTTGACCCAGTTTCTCTGTATAACGCTCTGTACTAATTCTTGGAAATTGAAAACTAAATAAAGGAGATGTGCCTGCAGTTCAAATCGCAGAAGCAGACAAATAATAGCTTTGTCAGGATTAGTAAAAGCCTAGAGCCAAATTGCGCAGTCTGCTCTTCACTGTGACCACACAGGGCTATCAGTCAGCAGTCCCACATGAGACTGATGTGTGAGGGCCCCATGAATTTGTATGGTTATTTGTATTGCATCAATCCTGTGTTGTCTACCATTGTAATAGTTCAGTTTAAAAGGGTTTTTATGTATTATTACTCATTTTTGCCAACGGAAGTGCATTTGCACACAGCTGGGGCCTAAATAGAGTATGTATCTTAGTGCTAAAATGTAAATTTAATTTCCACAGCACTCCTGATAGAATAATAAAGTTATGTGAGAAATTCTATTGATATGTAATAAAGAGGTAAAAAGCTAAATTTGGGACATGAAATTCAAAATACTTACATCATATGTTGGATAGGAGGTGACCCACTCATCTCACCAGCACTTTGCCAAATTGGCAACACTATATTAAAGGCCTTAAGGTCTTCTGGTTACTTGTTCTTTAAAAGGATTGGAAGTAGGTCGGAGGAAATAAGCAGTGCACTTGTGGCTTACATCCATGTGTGCTGAAGTACTGATGTAATACTTGCCATCAATTCATCCTCCCCAGTGAACTGCAGTTTCAGAGCTGGTGCTGAAAGTGTTGTGTGACCCAGCTGTGGTGCTAAAGACTGCTTTATATTACAGTAATACTGCTATTTTTTTTTGTTAAACAATTTACTCAATTTACTCTGTGCCATGCAAAAGGTTTTCATACACATATTGCATATATTTTATATTTCTGTTATTCTCTATACAGTATCTTAGGTAAGCATGGTATGTGGGGCAGCTGTGAATAGCCACCCACACCTTGTGATTCAAATAGTATGAATGGTGTGACATTAAATGGCAGTTCAGTTTGAGCTAGGCTAGAATCTAGTTCCCACATGACCCCGACCAAAAACAGGCCAGTTTAGAAAATCAATAAATACACTGTGAATGTTGTTAGTATTGTCTATATATGTGTATTATGGGTGGGTGGGATTAGGAGTTTACAGAACCACCAACCCTGTTTTTCATTAGGTGGCAGCAGCCCTCAGTAGCTAGCCTTCACAGTGTACTTATCAATCACAGAGAAGCAGCAGCACTGAAAAAACTTTCTCATCTCCACAGTAAAGTAGTAGAAGCTTTATCAGATAATTTATGGTCTAGATGAGGTATGCAATTAGGCACCCCATTATACATCATCAGGGTTTCTGTGGGGAGTGCTGCAGTGCTTTCATTTCTAGTCTTTGGGCTTCATCATAAATCACTTAAAAATCTTCCCGATCAAAGAACTGCTTTTGTTTGCATAGAGCTAGAGTAGTGCACGGCGGCAGCAGTGTATTGATCCAGTATTTCACTATTGAGTACTGTCTGTTTCACTATTGAATACCGGATTAGAATATTATAAATGGAGATTTTCAGAGATGGGTGCAAGCCGTTTAAGCATAATTTAACCAGATTATGTGGATTTGCACAATCCTGTCTAGATCTGGTCAGTGTAAAAGTCAGTTTTAAATCAGTTTCATTGCATGTATTTGCATTACTTTCCAACATTAATCTTAAACTTAAAACTATAGTCTCCTTAATATGTGTAATGTTGGTTTGTTCTTTAATAGTTGGAGGCCAATTCCCTGCCCCCTGAAGTTTGTAGATGGCAACAGTTAATTCAAATTTTGGCATGCAGTGGCATTTTAGCAAAAGGGGTTCTCTGGTGGTACGTGGAGGATGAGAGGGTTAGTGATGTGTCAAGGATTTTAGTATTATCATAATCAGTGCAAATCAGTATTATTACACTATTACAATTACAGTTGCAACAATATCAGTCAAAGTGTGAGACAGGCTGTGGGTGCTTGACCCATTTGTATGAGTGAGTCAGATCAGCAGAGTAGATACCCTGGCTGGGGCCCATGCACAATGGGGTCATTAGTCTTATAATACCTAGAGCCTCAGTTTCCACCACAGCTGTGAGCATGAAGTAAAGAGGTCTCAAGCAAGTGTCCACTAATGTACTGCTCCAGCAGAAGTCAGAGGTAGCACTGATGTGTCATTTGTTTTATTTTGTGACTGATGTGTCATTTGTTTTATTTTGTGAGTGGGCTGTGTGAAAAGATAAAACATTTGTTGCACTGTTGCAGCAGAAATGGACATGAACAGGTTGTCACTCTGATTAAGAGACACGCGCCAGACAAGGCAGGAATACAAATCTATTGCTACATCTGCAAAGTCTGTGATTTTTCTACACGAGATCTCCACAGACAAAATCTGTCTGGCCTTTATATGACATCTGTAAAACCTTGTTTTGATGAAGCAAACGCTACTGTAGATTTGAGTGAATTTATGTCTTGATTATTATAATATTTAAATATAGAAGTGTATGCATGAATAAGGAACAAGTTTCACAGTCATTGGTGATGCAGTAATTGAAATAGTCTGATCTGATGGCCAGGCCGATGGAGTACTATAATGGAGTAAAGTGCAGTTAGATTTAGGACCCATCTTGAGTGACGCCTGTGGCTGGTTTTTTTATGTGTGGCTGCCCTTGCCATGGGGTCACTGCTGCACTACTCTGTGTCGGCCATTCTGTGTTGGCTGTTTCAGATGACTGGAGTCCAGCACAAACACTCTACATGAAGGCAAAATGACCATGTGAATCTAAACTTAAAGAAAGGTGGATCATTATAACCTTTAATACTGCAAGAGTCGTGTTTGTGAATCTTTTAGACAATTGGTACCACATGTGAGGGACAGATGGACAGACAGACACAGACTTGCTTAAGGACATTGCATCTGTCTCTCTCTACAATCACTCCACCCTGCTGCCCAACAACTGCCCTCACATTTAAATAAAAAATGTCAATTGTAAAGGAATATCACTGTGTGTGTGTGTGTGTGTTCTATTTTTGGTATGCATACTTTTCATTACAATGGGATGTAAATAAGCATAGTTTTGTGCAGGGAAGGCACAGAAAATTTAGAATGTTGATCACAGCTGGCACAGAAACATTCATCAAATTGTTGTTGCTATGGAAACACAATTTTCTGAGTCTTATGCAACAAATCCAAAATAGTTCCTACAACAAAGCAGGTGAACAGTGCGTATTCAGTGGGAATGCATATTCTGTCTATAATTGTTGCATATCTGTTGTACAGTCAGTGCAGGGGGGTTAGTGTGTGACTGGTAATTTCCAGAAGTGACGCTCAAACATGAGGAGCTCAGTGGTTGTTTGTAAGTACTATGTACTTGCATATGATTTTATATCATGTTTTTCCTCATTAATATGATACTTTCCTGCTCCCATAAACAACTGATAATCAGGCAAGGAACTTTCACATTGTAGACTTCTGGTGCAAGATTGGACCAAACACAGTCAGTCAGGACCATAATGCTCCTACTGTATTGCAGCTCAAACCGTATTGCAGCTCCCACATCTACCACAGGCTGTAATTTATGTCAAGGTGAAACACATATAGATCCCTGAGCAGCTTAAGGAGATGGCAGAGTCAGTGAAATCTTATCAATCAATGTTCAATGTATCTTTTAAAAACATTTATTTCTGGCTATTCTATTTCTAGTTTTCTCTTTTATTTTTTTTCCTGTTCTTGTTTTGATTGACCTTTATATTACTGATGTTTTCTGTTTCTTTTTTAAATTTGGCATGTATTAACCGATATATTGTTGAGTGAAACATTTTGTAAACTGTATTTATTATTTTGACAACATTTTATAATAGTCCAGCTGACTGCGCATGGATTATTCAAAATGAGCCATTGTGGCTCTCCTCCATTAGATGCATTCACCCAGTGATCTATTCTGCTCAAGGCTATCAGGGCAGCCTTGCCCTGCCAGATGTTGTGACCGACTTTACTTGTCTGTTTTGGACGAATTTCCCAGACTCCCTTAGTGTCAGCCAAAGATAATCTAGCTTCACTCTCACAGAGAAATGCTGGTACTGATTTTTTTTAGGGGTTGACAAGACATCATTTACAGCTACTGTTCCTTGTTACTTACTAAAAGCTATGTGTGTCCCATATTCAGTGGTGTCCTGCCAGTTTCTTTTTTGGTACACGAAGCAGTGGCTGCTAGTTCATTCACTGCCTGAACGTTGTTATCTCTAGGCTCTACCCCAAATTTTACACAAGAGAGCCATGGTTACTGACCTAGCAATCCCTCTTTAGTCTAATTTTTTATGACTCCGTTGCTCCTTCAATATGTTTCCATAACAAGTCCTGTTTTAGAGACAAACATAATGCAGAAAGGGATATTTTCCACAATTCTATGTAGTAACCCAGGTATATTTTACAGTAAAGATAAAATAGGTAATTTCAATACATTCAACCATGTTTATGCATTTTTTAATTTTGTACATCATCCTTGGAGGGCTGTTAGAAAGCAAAAATCATTATGTTGCTTGCAACCATGGTGTTTACATATCAGAAGATACTTTCATACAAACAGACTGTCTTTGTCTGTCTCTGTCTCCATCTCACTGTTGTTGATCCATTCACATTGTTTGCTATGTGAAAGCATAACAAGTTATTTTTCTCATCCAAGTAATACAGCCAGTTATAGATTATATTTCAAAATAAGTAAATAGGGATTGTGATCTAAATGAACACAACTTCTGGCTTTAACACAAGTAAATAACTAATTATTATAATTAATATTGGAGTAGGCCATACATCTTCACTAGATCAGTCTTAATTAGATGATGACCTTTACTGGAATTTTACATGCAAAGAACCCAAAGTGGGTTAAATGCACAATGACAAACATATTTACCTTTGCATGTAGTGAGTAATTATACTGTGCCGAGATTTATGCACATGCCAAGTGTTGGACCTGTCCCTGGTGCTGAAGTGATTCTTTAACGGTTGCTTCCTTTGTTATGCCACACATTCCTGGTTTGTGTAAGTAATCAGCAAATATCAAGCAGTTCTAAAATATATAAATATAAAATACAGAGTAAAGATGCAGTTTCATTGTCACATTTGAAGATCATCATGTTGCATTTCAGTAAAGCTGTAAAAAAAAATTATGATGGCTCTGCTCTAAAAAAATGCTCTAATTGACTTGTAGGTTGGGTAGAAAGACATCAGCAGTATGTATGTGTAACCATTAAGTGCACTTAGAGCCTGTGGATGTCAACATCTTTGAGAACGCTACTCCCATTAATGCTTTAGCAAAAATACATGTGCACTGCACCAGAACTGCTTCCTATGGTGTGATTTTTTACCTGGTCTCTGCAGGGAAATTAACCATGGACCACAAGTCATCAGGATGTTGCATGTGTGTTCTGTTTAAACTTTCCCTATTCATCACACACCAACAGGGCAGAGCTCATGGGGTGGCCAGAGGTTGCCATGGAGACTTTAAGGGGTGGCAGAAATATGCTGATTTAAACAATAGCATATATCAATATTTGCTTGGAAAAGCCCCTAAACTAAGATATTTGAACTCAAAAACGTCACATTATTGTAACACAGAATAGAAAGCACTGAATTTTTTTTGTTGAACTTAACTCTAAACAGTCTAAAATGTGGTCATAACAGATCATTAAATTAAATGTGTTCTTTTGTTTTTAACACATTCTTTTTAAAACCAATCTCAGTTAATGTGTTAAATCTGACAGTATTTGTCACTAAACTGGACTGGCAGCTGGGATGGACAGGCATTTTTAAAGGGGCAGACAGACTTACTGACCAGGGTGAGGATGCACCAAGATAGGGGGTACACAGAGGAAGATCCACTTAAAAAAGATAGGTAGGGTGGGTAGATGGTATGGGTAAACAGATTAAATAAAAGCCTCTAATGTAAAACACACACAGTATAGACAAAACCTTTGGCAAAACAGAAAGTTTTCTACAAGAAAAGAACAAAAGAAGCAATTACACATTGAAGAATGACATGTTTTACCTCAACTGTAACCAAATGTGTTCCATCAGTTCTCACCCAGGGGAGGAGCAGTCAGTCACATCTGCAGTCAGCGACATCTGCATAAAGGAACCGGTGACTGAAAGAAGTGTGCTGCCAAAATGCAGAGTATCCTCGATACCTCCGTCATCATCAGTCACAAACAACCCAGGGAATGTGCTGGCAGTCAAGGGAAGACCTGACATTAAAACAAGTCAGCCAGTCGTCCAAAAGCATAGAATGGTTATTAAGTAGCTCAAAATAACTCTTAACAAAGGACCAAAGCATAAGCAGCAGTGTCTTTAACAGCCTGAAAATGTATATATATGTAGAGCATATATATGGGAGCATAAGGAAGCTTCACCTGGTGCCTATTTGAGCCTAATCAGGCTTATGGTGGACCAGGTAACCCTTCTAAAACATCCATCTATTTTCTATGACCTCTTCAATTATACAGGTCTTGAGCAGCTGGGGCTTACTTCAGTATGCACTGGGTAAGATACAGTTCACTCCTGTGAGTTTCACTGTTTCAGTACATTGTGTCAGAGCCTGTGTCAAACAGAGAATACCACGTGGCTGATGACGTCTGAAGCTTAAAACGTCACTGGTGCTTCAGACAGCTTCATTCAGTTCGGATGCTGTAAAGTTTTGCAGGTAAACGATGGGATTGGTTCATAAGTGGGCAAAACATAATCGGATGTACGAGAACTTCCACCTGATGTCAAGTAATAATGTAATAAAAGTAATAGGCTCTCCACTCACATCACATTGAAACGTTAACGATATCAACCATAAAGTCTGACTGAGACCACAGTTACACTGGGCCTCAACTACACTAATAAGGTACATTTATCAGAAAAAATATATCATATCTAGGCCTATATATCTTGGATTGTACATTTTTGAATCATTTTACTGTAACATATTGCTCAATCACATCTACATTAATTAAACAAAGGGTCTTACAGGTTTAATAATAACACACAGGCTTCTCGGACACATATGAGACTAAAACTATTAAAATGAGAGAGGTTGACATTCTGGGTTTGAAGCCCCAAAGCTTTGAATTTGTTTTTGACACAAATTGAAAGAAAGGCTTCATAAAGCTTCTTCTGCCCATCACTATCAGTGGGGTCAGAATAGACAACCACATATTCTCACATTACACAGTGTGAGCACTTGCTTGTGTATCCCTAATTTCATCACGTTTTTCCTTGAGTTTTGACCACCAGCTGTAGGGTTGGAAAGCTAATTCATAGAAATTCAGCTCTCAGAATAAGTGAAAAGAGGGGATTGTTGCATTTTCTTGCAGAGTGGAAATATAAGAATGAGCCCTGGAAGCAGAAAGCTGAATTGTAGGCTGGACCTTCCTGTGACAAAGGCAAATGGTCTACCCCTGAATCATGTATGTCGATTAATACAACCTCAGTATTTATTTATTTTGCTTTATATTAGGTTGTATTCAGCAGACTATCAGCCTCTATATGTTTCCGTGCCCATATATGACCCTATATCATGTTTCTCTCCAGGATACAGCCTACTGTAGAGAGGAAATTAGACATGTGCTTTGTGGGGTCCACCACGGGCATCTGAAATACGATTACGTGACCTGACAGTCCGAGGTCTACCACTGACAGTGATCCGTGTGCAGGGAAGGTTGTGATTGTCAGTGCAATGCTTTCTTTCTGTTACGCCTTGCCCAAACGCTCGCCATGCGGTAGGCTGCGCTGCGGAATCGCTACCGGCAAATGAACCATCCTTGCGTCTCCAGTGCAGACAAAGGAAGACAAACATAAGCCTGTCCCCCAAAACATGTGTCTATGTGTGTGGCCACGTTTTTTTCTCTCGCGTATTTCTTCCATTTTGGGGGAGGTGGTGCACATTACGCTTTGACCTTGCCTTTAAGAGCAACAGAGTCCAGACACATTTAACAGGGGGGGGGGAATTAAACGTTTTAGCCACATCTCCGGGTTATATTTCCCATTCAATAATCCCAGATCCTTAAATCATGTGCTGCACCGCAATTCTGATGGATGCATGGCTGGTGTAGCGGAATACAGAAGTGTGTGTGTGTTTGTGTGTGTTTTGTGTGACCACCGTTCTTTATTCTGGAGGTGCTTTAATGTGTCGGTCGTCTATCAGCTCTCAGACCCTACACCGACATCGTAATGGAGGGATGAGAGGAGAGCAATGGGTGGGGAGGGAGGAGGGGAGCTGCGCCACAGTGGAGAGGAGAGAGCTGGAGTCTGAGTGCGCGCTAGGGTGGGATACGGTCCCTCCAATGTCAAGTCAGCAGCGTTGGATTACATGAATTCCGGTAAGCGTTTTCAAAATAAAATCTCTCCAAAGGCACGCTCTGCTGCTGGGTTTTCAGTGAAACACATCCACACAGGAACCTTTGGTACATGCTTCATGGCAACATAAGCAAAGTTGTATTTATACAGCACAAACACCTTACAAAAGTAAGTGTAAGTCTATGCGTAATTGAAAAACATGTTAAAAACTAAACTTTGATTTAGGATTTGAGGAAAAACCTGACAAGCTATGACTCCCAGTCCCTTATTTAACAACTTCATTAAAAGCTCTCCAGTTTTGGGCTTCCTGGACGCATGTCTTCCTTTCTTCCCTCTAGTAGAGCTAACTGAATTTACTGTAGAGAAAAAAAATTTACACTTTTAATTATTTTACTTTGAAAGGCACACGCTTCTATTCCGGTTTCATCGGCGCAGATTTCCACAGTCTTGACAGATTTCACAGCTCCAGAGGCAGGGAAACACACCCGTCAGCAGCGCGCACTGGAGACAAAAAAGCGCATCACGGACAAAAGAAATATGGGTGCGCTGGAGAGGATTCACCTCAGCCGGGTAACACAATGGATGAGCCGCTTCTGTTTCATTTACCGGGAGACCAATTAGCCCACCTTAATGAGGTGCTGGGATGCAAGATACTGCAAGCTAAAAAGGCGGAGGGCTGCGTTTAATCCGTCTGCGGATCCTATGAGCTTGCAATGGCTGTGGCGGGGATATGCAACTGGATAGGGAATAATGTGCCTTTTTATTTTGTGATATTTTCCTTATTTTGTGGCCTTTCGTTTGGACAGTTGAGATATTCTATTACGGAAGAACTAGAAAATGGGGCACTGGTCGGTGATCTGGCGCATGACTTGGGGCTGGATATTCGAAAGCTCGCCACCCGAAAAATTAAGGTAACCTCCAACAGCGGTAAACGCTATGTGATTGTCAACCCCAAAAACGGGAAATTACTCGTCAATGAAAGGATCGACAGAGAGGCACTGTGTGATTTTTCCAACACCTGCCTCATTAACCTGGAGGTGATGGTCGAAAACCCCACTGAGGTACACCCTGTCGAGGTGGAGATTGTGGATGCCAATGATAATGCGCCGCAGTTCCCCAGAGACGAGTACCAACTGGAAATCATAGAGTCTGCTTTACCAGGATCTCGTTACCCGATTGAAAACGCGCAAGATCCAGACATTGGGTCCAATTCAGTTCGTATGTATCAGCTTAGCACAAACGACCATTTCGCGCTGGTATCTAACAAACCCTCCCTCAATACAAAGCACATCGAGCTTGTGCTCAAAAAGCCCCTTGATCGCGAACAGACGCCTTACCACCAATTAATTCTGAGTGCTGTGGATGGTGGGACGCCAGAGAAAACTGGCACGGCTAAAATCAATGTCCGTGTCCTGGACTCTAATGACAATATGCCCACGTTTGACAGCTCCGTGTACAAGGTGAAACTGTTGGAAAATTCTCCCAAAGACACACTGGTAATTAAACTGAATGCAACTGATCTAGATGAGGGCACAAATGGAGAGGTGTACTACTCTTTCAGCAGCTACACTCCAGAGAGAGTGAGGCAGATGTTCAGCATGGACACTAACACAGGAGAAATAAGAGTTAGGAGCAATGTTGACTATGAAGAGACCAACTCCTATGAGATGTACATCCAGGCGATGGACAAGGGCCCTGGGGCTGTGGCATCACATTGTAAGGTAGTGGCAGAGGTGGTGGATGTGAATGACAACGTCCCTCAGATAGTGTTGTCATCCCTGTCGAGCCCAGTGAGGGAGGATGCCCGTGCAGACACAGTCGTGGCCCTCATTAGCGTTACTGATCGAGACTCTGGCGCTAACAAGCAGGTGAGCTTAGAGATCCCAGCAGGCCTTCCTTTCAAGATCAAGTCATTCAGAAATTACTACACTCTGGTTACCTCAGCCTTCCTGGACCGCGAGACCACCGATGCCTACAATGTCACTCTGAGTGCCACAGATGGAGGGAACCCTCCCCTTTCCTCCCAGAAGACCATACAGGTGGATGTGGCTGATGTTAATGACAACCCACCGCGATTTGAGCAGACTTCATATACTGTCTATGTGGCTGAGAACAACGCCCCTGGGGCCTCTTTGTGTACCGTGAAAGCTCAAGATGCAGACATCAAAGAGAACGCACGCATCACCTACACAGTGCTCAATGACAACAACCATGGCATCCCTGTCACCTCGTATGTGTCTGTGAAGGCCGATACTGGGGAGGCTTATGCCCTGCGAGCCTTTGACTATGAGTCACTGAGAGAGTTTCACTTCCAGGTCAAAGCCCAGGATGGGGGCATTCCTCCACTCAGCCGCGTTGCCACAGTCTACATCTACATAATGGATCAGAATGACCATTCACCATTGATAGTCAACCCTCCCGGCAACGGCACACGCTCCTTGGAGACTGTACAAAAGAACGCAGAGCCTGGTGTCTTGGTGACTAAAGTGGTGGCATATGATGCAGACGCTGGTCCAAATGCCTGGCTGGTCTACGTACTGGAGACGGCCACTGACCTGGACTTGTTCAAGGTGCACGAACACACCGGTGAGATCAGAACCACTCGGAGGATCCTGGAGGACAACTTCACCTCCTTTGCTCTAACCGTTGTAGTGAAGGACCATGGGCAGCCTACTCTCTCCTCCACCGCCACCATCAACGTGGCCGTCATGGAGGTCCCACCCAAAGTGGCTCCTGATCCCAAGAGGATCATCCGACCTCACAGCACGCTGCTCTTCTCCAACGTGACCCTCTACCTGATTGTGGCTTTGAGTGCCACCACCTTTGTTTTCCTGGTCACTGTGGTGGTGCTGGCAATAGTCCGCTGTCATGCCTACTGCACCCAGCCTGGGTCCTGCTCTCCTTGCTGTGTGTCACAGAAGCCCCCTCCAGATGGTGGGAGCAGCAGCGTAAGTGCTGGTGGGGGAGGCGGCGGTGGTGGAGCCGGGGCACAGCCTAATAACAATGTGGTGCTTCGGAGAGACCTTAAAGTGGAGCCTCACTACATCGAAGTGCGCGGGAATGGCTCCCTAACAAAGACTTACTGCTACAAGACCTGCCTGACAGCCACCTCTGGCAGTGACACCTTTATGTTCTACAACACAGGACGTCCCATCAGTGGCACCTGGGGCAGCGGTGCTGACCGCTTCTTCACCAGTGGAAGTGGATTTGTACGCAGACTGAGTATGCCTGATGCCTCGATGCAACTCTGCCCAGAGGTTTGTCATTAATTTTTTATGTTCACCTTTGTCTGCATAACTGGAAGGTCATGAATCATCATGTTTACAATTTAGGGGCTTTAATGAATTTTTTATTTAGTTCCAAACAATAGAAACCCCCTTTTAAGGACATACTAGACATGACTTTCCATTAAGGTTACTGCTACAACATGCATTGTTGGCGTAATGTTTGTCCGTGCTATGTTTTTACAGCATTGTGAGGATATTCATGTATGTCTAGTTTGATACCCCCTGCCATGAATTGACTCCTTGCAGGCCCCATTTTCTTTGTTCGGTTCCCACTTGTACTGTGCAGTCACTCAGCCCAGCCTAGCTCAACACTCACACTGCATTAGTGTCAGGCCTGATGCTTTTCAGGGTCCTGTGTTATTTCTGATGATTCAGAGATTTGTGTTTCAGTTTGAGGTTGTCATCACATTTACACTGAGAACAGGTCACGTATATCCTTCACTACTTGCTCATTCCCAGTGCAAGTAGGTTTGACTTGTGTGTATGTGTGTGTGTGTGTGTGTGTGTGTTTGTGAGTAATACTGTTACACTGGAGCAGTTGGGGTTAATTGACTTGATCAAAGGCCCTGCAAGACTAGTTGTTGAACTGACTATGGGAAAGATATGCAGTTATCTTGCAATGACACTGTGGTGAGATTTATTGAGATTTAATCATGATACAGATTAAATGTTTTATTTTATTTTTTGTTCTTAAAGGCTGCATTACACAAATTATAGAGAGATTGGTGGTTCAAATATTGGAATAATATCATTTTTAATGTCAGATTATTGAGGCAAAGGCTTCTAAGGTGAAGAGGGTATCACTGGATGCATCATCATAATTATCAGGTGCCAGTCACTGGTACATTAGTTATATGAAAAACTCTTACCAAGACAAGTGTAGCAGTGTAAATTAAATTAACCTCCAGCCTCTGTTCCCCAGCCCTGCAAATTAGATTTACTCAAAGAGGCTGGGTCTACCAGCACAAAATACTCCCCTCTGAATTGAACTGAGGAACATAATGTGCCATCTTTATCTGGGACACTTGCTACTGCTTGAGCAGGTTTGTGCTTTAAACACAGCTTTTTTTATTCAGTCCTCTTGATGTCTAAGGCTGCAAACCACATGATGCTGACAGATTTTAGCATTAACTGTAATACAGATGTTTCCAACTGTTTTATGCGGTGCATATGCACAGTATCTACTCATAAGGAAAATAATTATGAAAGAGTATAATTAATGGCCACGGAGGATTGGCTCATTAAAAATATGACTTTTCCCCCTAAGGTTCTTTTTAACTCAAAGGCATAATCATCATAGTCCTGGCAGCCTTAACATTCTGACTCCAATAGCCCAAACTCTATACAATTAGAACTGGTAATTTAAAATACATTGAAATAGTTCAAAAAGTATGTGACTAAGCAGTTAATTTGCATCTTAGAAACAAGTGTCATATTCTTTATCAGGTCTTAAGTGCAAATGTGTACTGCCAAAAAAGCTGTCTATACAGTAGTTTCAGTTGAATGATAGCAACGTTTTGGATATATACAGTCATCAAAATCAAGTACATCTCCAATAGAAGAAAGATGGAAGAAGATGGAATCAATACAAGACTATACAGTGATCATTTGTAAATTATTATTAAAGACTTATCCCACACATTGTCTTCTATACATGCAATACAATATTTGTACATATGATTGCCCTGATAAAGAACACCACAGGATGTGGTTGCCCTGGCGATGGTGGCTCTTGCTTATTGGTTTTTAAAGCAACAATCTACCAGCAGACTACTTGGAGTTTCAAGCACTCATCCCAGGTTCATCAGGAGTGAACAGATTTACTGAAGTTACACATAAACACAAACACCCTCTCGCTCAGGGAAAGGCATAACTCTCCCAGCTCTCACATTTATAGAGCCACAGAGTGAGAGGCTGTCCAAGAACTCATCAATATGGCTTTCAGTCAGTGCCCTTTTTAAAGTCCTTCTTTGTCCATGTCTGTGTGTAAATATCAATATGTATGAGTGTGTGTGTGTGTGTACTTGCAATGGGGGACTCGACTGCAGTGTCCCTATCACGTCCAGAGCTGGGATATGTGTCATGATTAATTGATGAGACCATGGCCCAGCCAGGCTGCACTGTATGAGATCAAACTAAACCCTTTTTCTTCCCTCCTCTCTCTGTCTCTCTCTCGTATCGCCTCTCTCGTCTCTCTCTCCTCCTCCGGTCTCTCTCTCTCTCACTTTCTCTGTACCTCTTGCTCGCTCAGCCAAAAGCCCCGAATGCTGACTGGCGATATTCTGCATCTTTGAGGGCAGGGATGCAGAGGTAAGCACTTTCCATCTTTAACTCTTTTGCAACTTTTGATCATCTAGAAGAAGTTAACACCTATTCATCCTACACACACTGTCTACACCCATACTCTGTTACTACTACAATGAGCCCTCATGTTGCTTACAGCTGCAATGCAATTTATCTGAAAGCAAAATATTTATTGACACACCAGACGTCCCACAGATATCTGCGCCTCAAAATGACCTCTCTGGACATCTGTTGACAACCTTAACCCCATCTTCTTCCTTTGGGAAAAGCCATGTGCAGCTCCCATCAGTGGAAGCATAGCACTTTTCCTCTGCAGTGTAATACTATATAGGTCATCTACATTCTGAGCGTTGCTTCCCCCACTTACAGTCTTTAAGCAGGAAGCATGAAGGACAAATGAGCTGACTATGACCTTTCTTAGATTATCAGATGCACACATGCAGTGTCTGCATGTACAACTGCCCAGCATGCACATATGTGTGTGTTTCTGTGTGTGTACAAAGACAGCAGAGGACATTTTGGACTCCATTAATAGTTGTTAATTCACTGGATGTGCTTGCATGCACTCTGTTTTTCCAGATATGGTTTCACAAGGCCTTAGTGCTTGACCAAATTCCAATTATAGATTGATCTAAAGATTGATAGATACACTATGGTTGAACACAATATGCCAATTATTACACTGAAACAGGACTTAATTAGGTTGTTAGCATTTATAAATGGGTTCAGGTTTAAACAAGATTGTCATCTCCCAACAGTAATGAGAAGGTCTGGAGTATTATATTTTAAAAATGAGAATAAAATATTTGCAGATTCCCAGTAATGTCTTAGTAATGAAGTGCTACACATGTCAGCATTCTCATTAGCTATCAACTACAAATCACAGAATACCAGATTAGGAGGATCAGTCAACAGTTTGGGTAAAGAAGTAGGCTTTTTGCATCTACATCTGTCACTTAAAGTTTGTAAGGATCAAATTTCAAAAGTTGTATTAAAATATGTAATGAAGTGTTTTCTTAATTTGATATGAGGACAGCTGGAACATCAGGGACCTCCATATGTCTATCATTTGTACTGAATTTTCATAATTGCATGCTAACAATGCTTACTGCTCAGTTGTGCAGTCTTCTGCTCAGTATAAGTTTGATTTAATCGGATATTAGTGTTAATTTTTATGCTGCCGAGGGTATCATAATGTGCATCATGTCATCAAGTCACTGTAACATGACATGGATTAACATAAATCATCATTGCAATTTGCCGCTGCCATCTCTGAAATGGCAATGCCCGTAATAAACATAGACACAGAGAGGCTCATAGTAACGCTTAACCCCAACACACGCATACTGTAATGTATCACACTACACACAGCATGTAGCACCAACATTACTGACCCACATTCCTGGTGTAGTCAGTCAGTGTAGAAAACACCAGTCCTATCTGTGTCATATTCTCACACATTAAACCAGCACCTCTGCTTATGAAAAAGCTTAAAAACCCACCCTGCTCAGAATATACGTTGCCATTTTATATTCATGACAAATCCCTATTCAACATAACAAGTGTGTAATGCAGTTTGAGATAGATGCTGGATGTGCTGCATTGCAGAGGCCCCAGTCAGGGTAGGTCCTCCTATACAGAAAGCTCTATACTCATTATGAATGTATGGGGGGAAATTTCAGTCAGGGTTGGAAGCTACATCCATGCACCTGGCTTTACAGCATTATAAGAGTTTATAAATTTAAAGAAACATTTTTTTCTTTTGGTCACAGTTTGCCTTTATTATTATGTTTCTGAAGGAAAGCTTGGGATTTTTTTCTTTAGCTATAGGTGTTTGCTAACATTATTGTGATTCATTTATACACACATTAATGAAGGAATATTTCAACATTTTGGGAAATAGGCGTATTCACACTTACTGAGAGCTAGATGAGAAGATTGATATCACTTGTGTCTCTGTCTGTTAAATATGAAGTTATAGACACCAGTCAGTTATTTTAGCTTAGTGTGAAGACTCTTACAAAAAGAAACTTACAAGCTCATCTCTTTCATTAAACCCTTACAAAAGTGGAACTGTGCAAATGACAAATTGTGGTTTCACGGGGGGCTTATGTGTGGGACTGTTTCTGTGCCAGGTCCAGTGACTTACTGGATTCTCTGCTGGTTGCCTGGCAACTTCACTGTTACACCAAGACTCCCAAAAGTCACAGATTTTGTAACTTTTGTACAGAACCAGAAACATTGTATATTGAAAAGTGTCTATAAAATACAATTTTCAATTTTAATTCAACACAAGGTGACCTTAACAGGGAAAGTACTTGTTCATGCATTTAGAGATGCACCGATCCACTTTTTTTGCGATACAAATGTAATACCTGAATTTGTATATCTGCCAATACTGAACTAACTAACTTCCACCCCTCGGAATGTTGGCTTTACACACATTAGAAGTTGCTTGTATATAAATATCTCCAAACTAAGGACATGTTGAGTTAGCCAACTATTCTAGCTCACTAAGTTGTAGACTCATGTCTCATGTTACATTACGGTGGGTTTATGGTCCAGCACAAGCTCCGGCTGTATGTCTAACCTATAAAATTCTATACAAATTGCGAGTACTGGATATTTAATTAGCTAGTTCTACAACATTCACAGCTATGGGCCTAAAATGGCATTATTCCATCATTCATAAAACTATCAAAATATGGAATCTGGAATGCTACGTGGATCAGTGACGTCAGTCCGATATCAGATATGTGTGTTAGCAGCACTTGATAGGATTGGATCGGATCAGCCCCAACATGCATTGCCACCTCTCAGTGGGCTGCATGCCCACCAACTAAGTAGAATGACAAGGTAGAGCTCAGAAAAGTACTGCCTCTGGGTTTCTATTGAAAAAATATAAAAATAAAAAAAACTTCAAGAGCTCCACTTTGATGCTATCCTGTGAGTCTATGTTGTGCTTGTAGTGTGAAATTTTAAGATTTTTCATTTGGGTGTGGTAGGAGTGTCCTACTTTTTATACACATAATTATTAAAATATAACTACTAACAAGATCAGCTGAAAATACTTACAGCATGCCATTAATGACATTAAATATGTTATGTATCCCAATTGAATATGTAACTAAATGTTACATATTGTAAGTATGTTGACAAAACAACGTACAATGTACAATAAACAAATACATATATGTATATGTGTATACATATATATACACATATACATATATATAAAACAAAAAGTGGAAAGTGGTTGCTCGTGGCAACAAGACCACAAGAAATGGGTGACAGAAGTCTAAACCTGGTTGCCTAGGCAACGAGGGAACTATTCCTGTCAAGGCCTGAAACTGTGACCAATACTGCTTGACATTTTTACACTGTAAACTATTTCTTCTGTTGGATTACCATTTTCAGTTACCAAATATCTATACTATCAAGGACAACAAACTTCTTTAATGAAGAAATAATTAACAGCTGGGGGTTTGGATTTTGATTTGATGTGTCTCACTAAGTTTGCTGAATGTGTTCTGCCTTTCAGCTCGGTTCACATGGAGGAGTCCTCTGTGATGCAGGGAGCACAGGGGATGCTGGTTCAGAACTGGCCCACTGTGTCCAGCGCTGCAGGTGAGTATGAGTGTAGGGTAACTGGAGGGTAAATGATTTTTCCTTGTTGTACTACTACATCTACATTAAAATTGAAGGAAACTAAGCAAGATGCTTTAAAATGTATCGGAAGTAGAGGATGTTTAAGTCAGGTGTACTGAAATAGCTTTACTGTTTATATCATATAAAACTAGATGACGTAATGCATCCATTAGTACCAATGTCATGCTAGCATTTAGAGAAGGAAAATAATGCTACAAAGTTAGGCAACATTTTTGCAATGAAGAAACTGGTATGGCCATATTCAAATGGAACCATTGATTTCTGACCTCAAGATCTTTGAATGAAAATTGGTTGTATGGGTACAAGTCTCCCCTTTGCAGACATGCCCACTTTAGGCTAATCTCAGTTTTGGGTGTAAATGTGTTATTTGTGCTAGTATATTGGAATATTTCTGCATACTAGGGTCCATAAAAAGTATTGGAATTATAAATGAATTGGTATTGACTGGAAATCAGAGACACATACGTCATGCCCTACTGGTGCCACCCCAATCAAAAATTATGTGACAGTAATCAAAATTCGGGTGGTCCAGGAGTAAAGTTCTTCCCCTCCACCACAGGCACCTGGGAGTTGAACCTCTGGTACCTTGGTTGTGCCTGTCAAAAACATAATGGGTGGGAAGCCAGCGAGTCGTGTTCTTGTCGTTGTACTTGTGACTTGTGTTATCTCTCCCAGAAGCTAATGGCTGGCAGGTGAAGAGAATCAATAATAGGGTTCATAAATATAGTAGACTGTGGAAGCTATTAATATATAACAAAAACAAATTACACAGAAGGACATAATCTACCACTGTCCATACTAAAAACTATTATGTTAGCTATTTGAGTAATCATATAGTTAGACAACGGCAACAATGAATGAGTTGAATATGAATATTTTTTAGATGATGTATGTTCTGTCGCGCCCCGTAATCAGCAAGACACAATTTTACACAAAGTTAAGCCCTGAAGAAAGATAGACTACAGTAAGGTAATCTTGCTCAATTGGTAATTAAGAATTCTTGCAACTTGTGTTGGATTCTCATGCAATTGGCTCTCGTTCATACTGGTTATAGTAACTTCAAGGAATAGTTTAACATCTTGGAAATAAGCTTCTCATTCTTGGAGGGGGAAGGTTTGATTCAGCTCTCATGTCTGTATGCTAAATATGAAGCCAGAGCCAGAAGACAGTTAGTTTAGCAATAAAGACTGGATAGGTGCAAAAGGTAGAAAGAAAATATGCCTAGTAGCACCTCTAAAGCTTGCTAATCAACACACTATATCTATTTTGTTTAATCCATACAAGAACCAAAGTGTAAAAATACAAAAATAAAATAATAAAAATAAAAGTTGCAGTTTAAAGGTTTCAGTTTCACATTTTGTTTTTTGTACACATTAAAGAAACAATATATAGTGTTTAATCAGTGAGCTGTAAAGGCAGACCTTTGGACAGAGCCAGGTTAGCTGTGTCCCCATACTTCTGGTCTTTATGCTGAGCACAGCTAACAGTCTCCTTGCTATAGCTTCATATTTACTGTACAGACATGGCATGGGTATCAATCATATCATATAACTTAGTTTGACATTTTGACAGATAGGCTTATTTGCTTTCTTGCTATTACGTTACCAATATGTAGGATAATGGGGTGAGACAATCACTGACGATCACATTTTAGTGTCACCACACCTAAATGCCCATTACAATCACAAATTCAAATTTGACCCTTTGATTAAAGTATACTTAAGATGTTGAATTCATTAAGTTGAATTAATCATTGTTAGTACTTTGGTTTAGATCATATGGTAAAACTGGTGATTTGAGAGAATTGTCCTTTGAATATCTACATGATCTTGAATTCCAGTGTGATGTTCATGCAGAGCTTAGCTGAGGTGCCAAAAGCCTGGGGCCCTTATGCAGAGCCACAGATAAACAACTGCATCCTCCCATAAAAGCAGCTGGCAGCATGGAGAGCCACAGACTGAAAAAGGCAACTGTTTTTTAATGAGAAATTAGTTGTCCTGAGTGGGTGGCAACGCTGAAAATGTGTAGCAACACAACATAAGTGCAAGCAGAACTGGCCTAAAATATGACCTGTGTTTTACCATTCACAGACATAATGTCTCAGAGCTAATGACTAACAGCTTTTGTCGGTTTACTGGCAGACTTTTGTAAGTACGATTTCAAAACAGTGTTTGGAGCATGGGTGAGCTGCTCCCTCCTTCCTTCAGCCAAGCTTCCATTCATTGATTTTCTGTCTAGCTGCAGGAATTAAAACATAGGTACAGACTTGAGGGTGAGGGGTAGCATCACAGTCAATCACTCAACGAGTCAGTGACAGAATATGTCTTACTGTCTGTCAGCTTTTCTCTCTGTGGAAAAGAGAGCTAGGGAATTGTTCGAGATACAAGCTGTACCAGTTTCCAGTATCTCTGTGCCGGTTTGCTGCGGAGAAATTTGGATGGAAAGCTCTCTGATCATGTAAAGACTCAAATATTGTCTTTAAACAGAGAGCACAGTGTGTACTGCAGACCTATCAGGGGTGCATGGTTGCATTAGGAAATTATATGTTATGAGTGGCTCAGTGCTAAGGCATAGACATGTACTGGATTGCAGGTTGATCCTCTTTACTATGCACAAAGAGGTGGAGGCTTTTTGTGACACATTTTCAAGTCTGCGGTAAATTGTTATCATGATTAAGTTGTCTGATATGCTGGGATGCATCTAAATGCGGCACTCTCAGAACTGTGTTTATGTAAGTGACCCATGGTGCAGATGAGGAGACATTTGTCTACTGCCAGAGGGGGAGAGAAGCTATAATCAGTAATAAGAGAGTACCATAAAAAAAAGAGAGATCCAGTAACATTAAAAGCAATTTTGGAGAGGAAGAGCAGAGGAGACGTACAGAGGATGGAGGAAAAAAAAAGCGAGGTGTGGGGGGATGGAGAAAGAGAAAGGTTAAGAGGATTGGCAGGTTCCTGCAGTAGTGTTGTTGCTAGGGAACGCCATGTGACCTGTTGCCTGGCAACACTGTCTAACTGAGAGATTGCTGCAGCAGCCGCACCCTCCATCAGCAGGGAGTGGGCGAAGGCAGTTTCCATGGCAACCGGTCATATCTCTGAATGGAAGATTTAGAGACAGAAAAAAAGGAAGGAGTAGGGAGCGGAAAAGGGAAGGGGAGTCGGCAAGGGCAGGTATTAAGAGCAAAAAGAGGGCACGCAGTAATTAAGAGGAAATAGTGAAAGAATGGTTATGGGTAGATGGGTGTCATGCAGAATACATGCGATGTACTGCATATATTTACACGAGCACTACAGACTGTCAGATATGTGCCACAAACCACCAGAGGGATTCATTTTAGATGGAATGGTATCTTGGACTAGACAGGAAATAAGACAGCCTATTTTAAATGTAGGACATCAGGTTACATGGAAGGGGGCTTCAAACGCCCACATATCTACATCAGGTGTCATGGCAACCTCCTCACAAGGAGCTGTACTGACCTGCTTAGCAGCAGTTACACGATAATCTGTTTCAGATGTGTGTTTTTGCTGTGAAATTTGGGCTACTATGAAGCAATGGCAGAGTTACAAATAATCCTCCACGCTAGAGAAACAGTAGCACAGGGGAAGCAAAGCTCTTCATATTTGTACTCTCTCTGACTCCTCTGACCTGCTCGTTATAAATTAATTTTTCCCACACACGTACTCACACACACACGCACTGGAATATCTCAGATTAATACCTGGGCTAGGATTCTAATTAACAATGTCAGGGGTTTGGATTTGTCACAGTCAGTGCAGAGAGCCCGGGGATGTCCCAAGACGCCAAGACAATATTCACTTGATTAGGCGCTACACAGCCACTTGCCATTCTAGCTCAGTTGGTCATGCAAAGGGATATGAACTTCTCTAGCCCCATCAGGTGTATAAACAGAAAAACAGTCCATGTTGTATGTCTTGTTTTTTCTAACATAAGAAATTGTCCAGCACTCAATCTAGCCACTATAGTTTAAGATTCCGCACACTGTGATCAAATCAAAGTATCTAAAACTGGCCAGATTTGTATAAAACCTCAAGTTAATATTCCATTAATGCCACAGAGGATGAAACCTAATGGTTCAGTGAACCCCTCACCTTCTCCAACATGTAATCTTTGCACATCGAAATGAAATGTTAAAGGAATATCTCAGTATATTCCAACCTGGCAAATTATTATGAAAAAGGCCTACATTTAAATCCCCATGCAACATGGCTACTCCACTGTGCCACTTTCTGTGTTTACTTTTGGTTGGACTGACTTACTTGGAAAGCTGTACGAGGCTTGAGCAGCACAGTTAGCAGGATGCATAGTCCCAAAGGCCACATTTATGTAAAATAAACAAGGATGAAATATATTGGAATTTTACTTGAATGGCCCCATGACTATCCTCTAGCACCATCATTAGGATGGATTAGGTTTAATGCTATGGTTACATATAGTAACCTAAAAATTAAATGTAAAATGTGAAAGGAAGTAGCCTTCGGGATCTGTCAGTACAAAACTGTCCATTCCCAAATTCTTCTGACTGAACATCAAATCACAATCCTTAGCAACAGTAGCATCAGGTAACAGGAGATTGTGTGTCAGTTATATAAAATGGAGGTGCTTTGTGTACAGCAATGCAATGCACTGCACAACTGGCTCGATAAGCTCATCCACATTCTGCCTCACAGTATTTTTCACATCTCCTTTAACTCACCGGCTGTCTTTTCAGTTTATTTTAAGCATGGTTGTCCTCCTCCACATGAGAAGCAATCTTCCTAACCATTGAGAGCCATTGAATGGGACTTATTTAAAATACCAGATCCTCTTCCTGGGTTTAATACCCAGATTAAATACAAACAGCTCTGTCTGTACCATCAAATGTCATAATCCTCAGAAACAGACTAGCATTACAGTATTAAAGCGTTAACTCCACTAATGGTAAGATAAGATGATAACATCTGACACTGACTAATCATTAAACAAGATAAATTACATAGGTCAAAATTAGCTGCGATGAATCTGGAATTTCCTCCGCAGTGGTTTATTTGTTATCCTGGCCCTTCACATGCTAATTATTTAATGTAACTTAAAAATGAATACTTCTATTTTTGCAAGTAGAGAACAAATTATTTATGTGCGTGTGTCCTTATGTTCTTTATTACATTTTCATGTGTCAATATATGATCAATTCTTAGTGAGTCATGGCTCCATAATATATGATAGCGCTCTGTGAAAGGTGTCCAGTGCTCCACTTTGCAGGAGTGGTTAAACAGGGCAACAATGCAGAGCTATCTATTGAACAGTGTGGTAGTGCCCATTACATCTGCTCTTATTATATCCTACACTATATTATTCATTCTCATACTTGGTGAGCTCACTGTAGGGAATCAGTGGGACACTGTGTGTATGGACAGTGTGTATTTTCAAAAGAGTGTACTTCCCAATGGGACAGTGGTTGAAATCATTTCAGTTCTCCAGCAATGTCATAAATAGCCTACAAAGAAAAATCAAACAGAATCTTTTTGCAAGGGCTTGTGTTTGATCTAAATAAATTCCAGACGGAAAGTAGGTCAGTGCAGAGGGAACTGGTGTGGGCCTGAGAGCACCATGTCTACAAAACCCGCCTACCCCCATCTTTCTTACTGCCTCTCTCTCTTTCTCTCTCTCTCTCTCTCTCTCTCACACACTCTTACTCTCTCTTTCTCTCTCTCCTCATCTCATCTTTCCTTTTCATTCTGGCATCTTTAACCTTTTGACCTTAATAGCCATGTCTTATTTTCACTTTACATAATAATTTTTCTATATATAGGCTTCTTTTTCCAGTATCTTTTTTCCGACTTGCTATCTGGGTTCCTTTCTCTGTCACATCAGTGAGAGGAGCGCTAAAGGTTGAATCCCTGTCTCTGGACTCCTGTGAGAGTAGGATTAATCTGCTGCCATCATCCAAATACAAATACAAACACAAATCACATTGCCAAATTAAACATCCCTGTGGTTTAAAAGGTTACTCCCCTTCAGTGTTCCCTCCTGTGGTCTCTGAATTGCTGTCCTGAAAATATCCGCTGACTGTGGTTATCGCTCCATGTCAGGCTATTATTGTACTCACTTTAGCTTGATTTCAATTATTTCTTAAATTTCAGATTTTATGAACATCTCAGAGATAATAAAGTAAGGAACAAAGCATGACAAGCAAGTCAAGTGGTTATTAGAAAAACAATTCAAAATGTGAAAGCTGATCGCAGAGGAAAATATTCCACTGCGAAGACCAGGTCAGAATGAACTATCCTTCTTCTACAACATGCCAGCACTTTAAATATTATCAGTATGTGGAAAGAGCTCCTGTGGGACTGATATTTGATGATTTTGGGAAATATGCTTATTTGCTTTCTTGCCGTAAAGTTTGATGAAAAGATCAATGCCACACTCTTCTGTGTGGTAATAGGTGGAGCCAGCACAAAGACTGGAAACGAGGGGAAACCGCTAGACTGGCTCTATCCAAAGGTAGGCTAACAATATCTGCCTACCAACACCTCTGAGTTTACCTACGGGCATTAATAAAGGATAACTTAACTTAAATTAGAGCTAAAAAACTAAAATGGTATATATTGTTTGTTTAATTGAAAATTTGGCAGTTTGAATTTTAGTTCTTTCCTGGATTATTTGCTGGTTGCCTGGCAACATTTTTCCAGCAGATAGTCTTGTAGTAGTAAGATACATAACCCCCTGTGAAATGGTAAAGAGCAGTTTTGTATGAATTAAAAGAGATGTAACATGTTTGTAAGTGAGCCGTAGAGATGCTGGAAAAGTGATCTTTGTTACCTTTGGACGGAGCCAAGCTAAGCATTTCCCTAAACTTTCAGTCTTTGTACTAAGATAAGCTAATGGGCTGCAGTTATTGGCTTCATATTTTTTTCATACATAAAGGTGGAAAATATGCAAAAAATATAGAACTATTCCTTTAATAAAGTCGTGTGGCAACAGTGATGATTGAATTTCATTCTCTCTTTTTTCATATGTACTTGTGTAGATGGAGAGGGTGGCGGAGAGCTATCACCCCCAGTGGGCGCGGGAGTCAACAGCAACAGCTGGCACTTCAGGTACGGCGCCGGACAAAGCTACGGCCCTCCTCAGGCCCTGAAGCCTGGAGAGATTCCCCCTGAAGCCTTTATCATCCCCGGATCCCCAGCCATCATTTCTATCCGCCATGACGCCGGCCCTGTGGATGACAAAGGTGACTTCATAAGCTTTGGCAAGAAGGAGGAGGCCAAGAAGAAGAAAAAGAAGAAGAAGGACAAGAAGGACAAGAAGGAGAAAGGAAAGGATGACGGGGGAGATGAATAGAGGAGAAGGGGTGACTTGAAAACAGAGCTACCAACAATCTACGATCCCCATTACAGAGCCAGAAAAAAAGCCAAATGCATATTGTAGAACCCAGGGAGCCTCTTTGCACCATATCTGCATAGACGTTGTACAGTGGCCAAACCTTCATTAGACCAGGCCTGGCTCCCTACACCATGTGAACTTGCAAAACAAATGCTTCTCTCTTTTTCTTGGCTCATTTGGCCCATAACATTGGCCTATAAACGTCCATGGTTTATGGTAAACAAATGTTTACTGGCTGGACCAAATTAAAACAGAAAGGATTTTATTGGATTAGATTAACCTTTCTGTCATTTAGTGCGCCCCCC